TAACGCCACTGTCCCAGATCGTTATCCCATTCCGCACTTGCATGATTTCTCTCTAACACTGCAAGGTAAAACTACTTTCTCCAAAGTGGATTTAGTCAGAGCTTATCACCAGATACCAGTCGCTCCTGAGGACATCGAGAAGACAGCTATTATAACACCTTTTGGCTTGTTTGAATTCTTACGAATGCCTTTCGGACTGAAAAACGCTGCACAAACTTTTCAGCGCTTCATGGACCAAGTCACGCGGGGCCTTGACTTTGTGTTCGTTTATATCGACGACGTACTAATTGCTAGCAAGTCGGAAGAGGAACATAAGAATCATCTTAGCACTTTGTTTCAGCGTTTTGAACAGTATGGCGTCGCTATAAATCCTAAGAAGTGCATTTTCGGTGCCTCTTTTATTCAATTTTTGGGACACTACATAACTGCCAAGGGAATCAGGCCTACTGAGGAAAAGATAGATACAATAAAAAACTTCCCCCAACCAGACTCTTTGAAGAAAGTCCGACAATTTTTGGGGATGTTTAATTTCTATCGACGTTTTATTCCTTCGTGTGCCTCTATCGTCCAACCTTTAACCGATCTCCTTAAAAGTGATCCTAAAAAATTTCAGTGGTCAGAGCAAGCACACGAATCTTTCTGCAACGCTAAAGACGCTTTATCTAAAGTCGCTATGTTGTCTCACATCAACCCCGAAGCATCCCTTATCCTGTGCACAGATGCCTCCCAAGTAGCTGTGGGCGCGGTGTTACAGCAGAAGATTAATGGTGACGTTACCCCACTTGCCTTCTTTTCGAAGAGGTTAGAACCGGCTCAGACACGTTACAGTACTTTTGGGAGAGAATTGTTGGCTATATACCTAGCAGTCAAACACTTCAGTTACTTACTACAGGGTTGGCATTTCACTACTTTTACTGACCACAAACCTCTGTGCTATGCTTTCAGCACTTCGCTGGATAAACACTCCCCAAGAGAAGCCAGACAGTTAGACTATATCTCCCAATTTTCAACTGACATACAGTACACCAAAGGGGACGCAAACGTGGTAGCTGATTCTCTTTCAAGAGGTGATATACACCAGCTTGAAACTTCAGTAGACCTCAGTCTTGACCGTATGGCTCAGTTACAAAGAGACGACGCAGAACTTCGAAATTGTCGTGGAAACTCTTCCTTACAGCTCAGGGACGTACCTATTCTCTTATCAGATGCTCCTATAGTTTGTGATGTATCTACCGGCACTAATCGCCCGTTTGTTCCTCTCCAATGCCGAAAAGCTTTATTCGACCACTGACATTCGCTCTCTCACCCTGGAGTACGTGCCACCGTCAGACTCATCAGCGAACGTTTCGTGTGGCCTAAAATGAACTCTGACATTCGGAGATGGGCACGAGAATGTCTCCAATGCCAACGCTCCAAAGTACACCGCCACACTATCACAACGCCAAAAACGTTTGATTTACCGGACAGGAGATTTCAGCACGTTCATATAGATATTGTAGGACCATTGCCAACGTCAAGAGGATATACACATATCCTGACAGCCATTGATAGATTTACTCGTTGGGCTATTGCATGCCCCCTAAACGATATATCTGCCGAAAATGTTGCTTTGGTTTTCCTCGACCGCTGGGTATCAAATTACGGTGTACCAACTACTATTACATCCGACCGCGGTCCTCAATTCCAATCGACACTCTTTCGCGAACTGACGAGACTCCTGGGAGTGAAACACATCTCCACGACAGCCTATCATCCGGCAGCGAATGGTCTAGTGGAAAGATTCCACAAACAACTGAAAAGCTCCCTGATGGCGCAAAATGATACATCTAAGTGGAGTGAATACTTACCTTTAATTTTACTTGGTATCCGATCTACTATCAAAGAAGATTTAGGATGTACACCGGCTCAACTTGTTTATGGCACCAACCTAACCTTGCCTGGACAGCTAGTCCCCTCAGCCGATTCCACAGACGTGAACATCACCGACTTCACCAACCGATTAACTAGACAAATGCTTCAGCTTCAACCAACAGCACCTCGACAATCTCCCCGACGAGATCAGATCAACAAACATCTACAAACTTGCAAATTCGTGTTTGTTCGAGTCGACGCCGTCAGAAAAGGATTACAACCTCCATACGAAGGACCATTTCAAGTTATTAAACGTTCAGAAAAAACACTTTACGGTGAACAAGAATGGAAAACGAGAGACTGTTTCCATCGATCGCATCAAACCCGCATACACAGACAACGATTTTGAAACTACATCGGCAACTGCACAATCAAATAATCAAACATCACATTCCACTCCACCGGCACCAAGTCTAATCATCCCTCCATATCAAACACGTAGTGGTCGGCAAATCAGTAAACCGGCTCGCTACGTTCATTCTGAGGACTAATAAAAAAATATTAACAATTATTATTATCTTTTTCGTTTAGACATTATTATCATGACCGTTAGTATTTCGTTGTAAACTTTGATGTTACTATCACTATTATTTACTTATGTGTACCTCACCTATAAAACAGGCATTGCCCTTTTCAGAAACTATTGATCTTTAATCCATATTTTTTTTCTTTTTCGTTATACATTGAAAATCTATGCTCATGGTTAGTGCAAATTTAAAAGACATGACTTTCTGTTTTAATTTTTGTTGTTGTTGCTGAACTAATTGTATATGCTTTCAGACTTTACATGACTCACATAACTTCTTACGTTTATGCATGTTGTAATATATCCCTATTTTTATCCAAAAATTGTTATTACTATTATTATTTACTTCACAGCTTTACTTAACATTTTCCGATGGTCTCTCCGGACCTCTAGGGGGGGAGCCCTGTGGAGTGCGTAACAATGTGATTGTACACTTTTTGGTTATTTGTAGAAATTAGACATATAGTACATAATTTTTGTTTAAAACGCTTCTTGTTGAAATACCCTTGGCTTCCGTGTACATTTGAAAAAATACACTCTGCTGTCGGAGACTTCGTCTTCTCCTTGGTTTCCTCGGCTTACTAGCTCAGCTCTCACCGTGTTGTATCTTTCGGATTTATTGTAGAAATCCACTACGCTCAACCGAAGACAATTATACAACCGGGACACAGCAGCTACAACCTACTCCGTCCAAACAACTAACGTCTCCGTGGGTTATATAAATAATTTGTAGCAGAGGACTTAAACCTTATTTCCAAGTAACCCTTTTGTTGATATAACGTGTCGTTACATTTTTGGTAATATACTGTTACTTAACATTCCATTGACTTGAATTTTATTTCTCATATTTCGTAATACTAGTGAACTCTAACATAAGTCCCCTACAGGGATAATTAAATCATTCAGTAAGGATAGATTCACTCATCGCCACAACCACACCAAAGTTAAAACTTCTGCTAAAATTTGTCAGAGCCAATTTGATGTCCAGCCAGTATCGACGAGACGAGCTAGTATTGAGCTGCGTATAGCAGCTTTATTCGCACCTTTGCCAAACCAACATGTGTAGGTGTTCATTAGTTCGACGATGAACTTGCCTGGTCGTACGCCTAATGTAACCACCTCCCTCAGGAACAGTTAAACTAGAAAGTGAAACCGGAAAATGTGAGACAGAACAGTTTGTCTTTATTTCTTGAACTGAGTATTGGTTGGCTAGTGTGAATAAACAGTATAACGTAGCTGTGTTAAAAGTTCTTTCGAAGGCCCCTCTTAGACGTGCTAGTAAAATCTCACTATTGACACCTCCGGTGAATTGTGATCTCAGGAAGACTGATTTTTTGAGAACTGTGGGCACCTTCGGCTGTTTACTCGTTGAATTCATACAACTGTTCAAAAATTTTGTCGGATATCCATTTGTACTTGGTAGATCACAAATATTACTGCAGTCTGTTCAAAATGCTTTTTGTGAGTTGCAAAATTTCAGAAACATACAGAAGAACAGACTGACTCATCAAAATTTGTGTTAGAAATTCAAATTCTGTTGTTCTTGCAGTGTAGTGGAGTGGATTTCCAAACTGATTTTACAGTGATGAAGGCCTGTATTGCCTTTTCGATTCTGAGTGGCTTTGATGTCTTCATCTGTGCAGTAGGCCTGCAATTGAAAGGATCCTTCCTAGATAAGTGAATGAGGTAATCACTTTCGAATCTAACCTCGCTGCCTAATTTATTAGCTCGCTAGTTTTCTAGCCGATCCTAAGCTCAAGGGAAAAAAGGGAGGGGATTGGACATGGGGCTAGCGACCCCACTCCGGGAAATCAATCAAACTGCTACAGAAACTTCAAAGCAAACTTGGTACTGTAGCTCATTAACACCTAACACTGCGAAAACCACAAACAAATCAAGCTTAAATCAAACGCATAACGCAGAAGATGAAGAATGACATACTCAGGTTTCACGGTAAAAAAGACAACACTGGGGGAATCTGTACGGGAACAACGTTCAAATATTAGACAGAGGAAACACCAAAAATGCCCGCAGAATTTCTAGAAGCCTGGTATTCCAGTGAATCGTCAATTAATCGATACATTGGTATGGACAAAATTTACCAATGGATAGGAAAGAAATCTCATACATAAAGGGTCAAACTTCAGGTCAAGGAAAAAATCAGTACCAACACAAGTAGACTAGAGGGTGCGAAAACACACAAAATTAACCAATCATGTTCACGGCCACCAGGAAAGATGACTTATAAACTCGTGGAGAAATCTAAAATCTCACTTCAAATTGAAGTATACGCTGGAGATGTTGCAGATTAAGTAAGGCGATGAAAGCTTCGCACATTAAACCATCCAGCTTAGAGAAGACAAATACATCAGAATCTGTACCAATTTCACATAGAGATTTGACGACAAGAAGGAGGTTAGTTAACTGACTCGTAGATTGACAAGACAGTCCATTAAATCTACCTAGGCACTATTTTGTCACCACTCTAAATGGAAGCACGATCCTACTATAATGTAAAACAGAATTCAGTAGAAGAGAACAAGAAGGAAGGGAAAAGAAGACATCACTTTCTTACCTGAAATACAAGTGCAGGGAAATTGAAACGAACAATAGCATGACCAGCTTGTTCCAAGTGTTGTTGTGCTTTTGAATACAATTTAAAACACATATCTGGATCGATACTTTGTGGACTTGGACCTAGAATATGAAGGATACCAGCTATTAAACTTTGTGTTTCCGTGAATTCATTCACATCTTCACATGTATTCGGATCAGTTGTCAACAGTCCATCGATTAATTCAAATAGATTATCTAAATCTGTTTCAGTAGTTAAACGTGATGAATACGCTGGTGACGATGTATTGCCGACAGATGAATCTTTAGCTGTAGTAGTATCATGACGATTCGATTGAGGATATTGATTAAACTGACGTTGACGTTGATCTCGTTCTAAAGCTGCATTCAATAAATCATAGGCCAGTCGACATTTTGTAGTTTTTGGATCCAATAATGAGACTAGACGTCGAAAACCAGACATACCTAATAGTGTTCGTAGATCACTAAGTGCTGTCACCGGAGCACTGATACGATGAACATCACTCATTGACTGTGGAAATGTCCCGTCTAGTGGTAAGTAGGGTAGGCGAAGTAAATCACGTGATAGTGAAGATCCAGATGGTATTCTGTGTGGGTGTAAAGAAACAGGTTAAAACAGTAACCATACGCTTTTCCCATTCTAATGTTTATGGCATATACTTACATACATCACAGTATTAATAGGAATGTGTTTAACGAAATTAAGTTCAAGAGAATTGGCTTGCGATCATTTTTGTCTAGTATCAGTATTATTCACTATACCATGCTACTTAACACCGGTGATTAGAAACAGCCAGCATGTTTTGTATATTTCCCTTTTTCAGTGGCCACATCTCATAGCCATAGAGAGACAGAGAGACAACGCGAACTGCTGCTGTGCAGTGGACACGTCCTTTGATCGACAGCCAGCCGGATATCCCGTCTACCCCATGAATGATAGTAAGCTGGCAAATGTCACAAGAGCATCTTATATCCGTGCTGTTTGGAGATATCTGCAACTGAACAGATGAGAATAATGCCATTGCTTAACGACTCAATGTCGGACGGTACCTCGATGACGAGGTTTTATCACCACCGTTAGTAATAGCTGTTGAATAGAAAAACTTCAAAATCGGTAGTCTTTTGTTAATAGCGTATATCATTCAAACTATTCATAAAATGCATTGTCATATGATCAGCAGTGATATTATCCAGTTGATCAAGTGGAGCAAGATTCGAAGTCGGGATGGAATCCACTTGATTCAGAGATAAGCACATAAGCCAATCCAGTTTGATTGATATATATATATATAAGTTTAATAACAAGTGGGATATAGATTACCATCTTGCATTCAAGACCAATGAATTATATCACGTAAAACCACACTTTAATTACATTCACAAAGAAATATTTAAAAATGGTCAAGTCACCCATTGTCTATGGGTTATGCAATAACCCCTTTCAAAGATTTATTATGCATTACTAATACTATTATAATAACAATTATTATTATTATTCAAGAGTCAGATTTTAGGGACTTGATTTGTTTCAAATTTGATCACGGATTGATATCAGTTAGACAACCATTGAAAACCAGCACTGGAGTACTGGGCAACTGTCTCATCAGTCTAGCTTGAGACTCATCGTCAATACACACCCACCGCGATGGGGTTCAACCCAGGAGCTTGCGACTACAAAGCAAGCTGGTAGACCATTCGGCCACTTGGATCTGACTCAGTGGTCACCCATAAATTCAAACCTCTACCAATTAGTGATTTCAGCGTTATTACTACCAGCCAATGTATCATCGCTGGTGAGTATTTGTCCTCACTCCCGACCACTTGATGGACTCCACTGGTGATCACGACTTCTCAATAGAACTCCAGTCAACTTTGTCCGCCTGCAGCCAGCCAGTCATTAGAGAGCACAAGATAAATTTTCAAGAGTTAGTCTGTCGGGTCACATCCCAGTGGCCGACTGGTTTACAAGCTACCTAGACGTGTAACGGGAAGATCCTAGGTGGGAACCACAGTGGAGTGGGTATGTACTGAAGATGAATCCGAAACTAGGCTGACGAAACAACCTTCCAGTACTTGAGTACTGGTTTCCAATGGTTCTTTAACTGATACCAATCCGTGGTTAAACTTGAAGCAATATAAAAGTGTTGAGGATTACATTTTCTCTAAAAAATTACTCATGCTTAGAATAAAGTGATTATCATTATCAGTAATAATAATAAACTTACAATGAAAGACCAACATGATGAAGTGAATCAGCAGTAGCATTTAAACAAATATCAATTAATGGAGCACAGTTATTCGGTCGTAATATCATAGCTAAATAAACCAGTGCTGAATAAAGCGCTAGTATATCCTCTAATGGTAAACCCTTCAATGTGGCTATTGTTTGTGTTGTAGGCCGATTTTTCAAATAAAACAAAGCATTGCGATGTCCGCTGACCGGTTATGACGCAATGTGATTTCTGCCCAGTGCTCTGAATGTCAAAGTGAAGAAATTCAACCAAGCGCGGGTAAACGGCGGGAGCGCTACATTTTGCTCTGAATCACGGAACTCTTGTTCTATACATATTTGCACACAAAATCCGTTGTAAACTGTTGTATTTTCACACTCTACACATTTGAAAACCCTATACACACTTTACCTCCCTGGATTTATTATATAAACTGACTTTCCAATAACCCTGCATTGTGCACTCTGTGGATTTATAAAATTTCATACTTATCAAGCTCAATTCGGTGAGTCTTGGCATTTTTCCGAAGTTTTCGTTATTTATTGACTAGTTAAGACTTTTTCAGTGGTTTTTACTCAGTGGTTTTCGGTTTTTTGCAAACTTCCTATTTTCGGCTATCTGGTGTTCTAGGCTAGTATTATCATCTCAGATATTAGGACTATTAGTTATTATTACTACTTCTGTTAGTTTTAAATAGTTTATTTTCATTAAAATAGTGCTTTTTATAAAAAAACCGCATGTTTTTAGCTTGAGTTAACCTAGTTCGGTAATTACCCAAAAACCCCCCTTTGCCCTGTTCTCTGAACTTTACAATTTTGCTTGGTACTCCGAAACAACTGCTCCTCTCTTCCTGAATTTTTACATGGTGTTTCTACTCGCCGAATGCGTTCTTTTGATTCATAGCTTGACGACTTAATCTTCGATTTAGAGATTTTCACTCCTTAATTTAGACATACCTGTCATAATCTTGCCGTTTTTGACGAATTTTTCCTCCTTATTCGTGCTGCTTCCAATTTCTGTCGCTGAAATTGTAATAATCAGTTTCAGCTCGTGGGACCCTTTCGTTTGATATATAATTTGTACCTGTTTCTTCTACATTTCCTAAATCTTCCCCTCATTTCTTGGTCTTTTGCCCACTCTGGCCTAAGAAGTACCCGCGACTCACCAGTCGATTTTCTCTTTGGCCGTTATTCAACCCTCCAGTCCTTATTATTTATTTCCCTTATCCTATCTAGTGAGTCGAAAACTATTTTTTACCCACTAGTTTCCCGTCATTCCTTCCCTGCATAACTTTTTGTACCATTAGTGCCTTTTTCATACCCCCATTTTTCAATTTTTTCCGTTTTTTATCCCCACTCTTCGACATTGTACTCCAAATCCATCTTCATATTATTCCTCTCACCTTTTCTGATTTTTGTGACCAATTTGCCTCAAACTCCCATTATTTTTTCTAGTGCTGTGAAGCCTCTTTCTTCGTAAAATACCCCCCACTTACTAAATTCCCCGTGACCTTGAGAATAACCTTGGGCTTTCAACGACCTTGGTACCCGATTCTCCACCCCCTGTACTACACGTTAACCCATACCACTTTTACTTTCCGCACTTCCTTCGAAGTGTAAACAAGGTACCTTTTCTTCTGCAGTTCACCCCTTTTTTCGTCATTTTTAGTTTTTTCTTAAGTTCGAGCCCCTATAGCTCCGCCTTCTTCCCACCTGCGCAGCTTCCTTTGGTCCCTTTTAACTAAACTCAGTCCTCTCTGCACATTTTCACTTGACTTTAGTGGTGGTCCGACACGACTGCTGAGTTAGGAGCCCCCTTTTTCCGATTTCCATCGTTTTTTCACCCTAATTTTCGCGAATAACTTCAAGTTCGAGCCCGCCTTTCCTCACCTTTGCTTCCGCCAACCGTAGCCTTTTTCATTTTCCAAAGAAAGTGCCTTTAGTTCTCTTGAAAGCAGCAAACTGTACTCTTTCAGCTGCTTCCCCTACTGAACTATTTTCTATTAAACTTTCATCTTTGCCCATTTTTATACCCGTTCTCAGTAACTTTTACTCTTTTCCTGTATCACTTCTAGTAGTAAATTTCGCCTTTGGCCGGAATTTAGCTAAACGCTATCTCCACAGGCCCCATTAAGTTTTTATCGATCCGAAGCCAACGGACTAATTGTGTCTTCTGATTGGTCCAATCTCTTTATAATTTCTTCATTTTCACAATTTTTCTTGAGTTTGCAACCCTCTTATTGTCCATCTGTTACCTGTACAACCCCAATACCTTCCAATCCTAATAGAGCTCCTCCTCTACTTTCGGACGAGCACCTATATCCTGCGGTCACCCCGTCCCCCTCCATTCTACAAGCCCACAAACTTGAACTTTCTCTTATTTTTCACCTATTTTGTTGCTAAGACACTGCTAGATTGTGTCATCACTCTTCCTGTATATACTATATATTACTTTTTCCGTCTTCTACTGGGCCCTTTTGACCCAGTTTCTTTCCTCAAGCAGTAATTCCTACCCAAGGAATTCAAATCTTCTGGCAGTTTTTCCTCACCACCCCCCTTCCCCCCTCTATTACATAATCGGACCGTTTTTTTGCGTCTATCTTTGCCCCTGTTTGGATTTCGACGTCGGTCCCCCGACCTTTTTTTCGTTTCTCGGCACGAGGACTTGATTGCACTTGGTCCCGTGGCCGTATCACCCGCCGTTCCTGAGATAGCATTTGTAACCACCCCCCTCCCCTTTCATTTAAATCGCGTTTGCCCCCGTTTTGTCCCTTCCTGGCGCCCCCCTGTTGATTGTATATATCTCACTCTATAGTCTTTGGATAGAACCCACCCTCCTCTATCCATTGACCACCCATAGTTGTCCACCACCCCCTCCTCCTCTGTTCTACAGACCTGCAAACTTGGATTTTTTCCTTTCTCACGCTATCTTTATCCTTTCCTGAAAGTCACGGCGAGGGGTCTACGAACGATCCGTGACACAACCCTGCTCCGCAGCGGTTGTCCCTCATCAACACGAGTTTGTATACACTACACTCTCCTGCTTTTCGTCAGCAATGTCAACCTCTTCGTCATCTTCCTCTGTGGCCTCTGCTACGGAATATGCTGACACACCTTCTTCGATACCTTCTTCATCCTTCTCTTCTACTTCCTCCTCTCCGTCCACTCCTGTCCGTCATATTTCGTCTTCCTCCCATGAACCTTCCCAGCATAATTCGCCCGTTTCTACAAGTCCCTCCAGTTCTTCAGCAGCCTCAGTGAGTTCAACTTCTTCAAGTTCATCCAGTTCCATCCTGATCTCTAATTACAACTGCCCCTACTGTCAACGAAGATTTGCAACGTCTTTGGGGCTGACCCAACATCTTCGGCATGCTCATCCTGATGAATATAACAACATTCTTCTTGGACGTATAATGTCTTCCAACAGACTCCCACGCAACTGGACAGCTCAGGAGGAGCTGTCCCTCGTGACGCTCGCGAACGCTAATGTCGAACGTTTTTCCCGTAAGCTGGATTTCTACTCCTTCCTGCATATGCAACTACCGCATCGTTCCGTGGAGGCCATCAAGAGCCGGCTAAAGATGCTACGCTGGCAGGCTCCACCGTCCTCATCTTCATCCGCCTCCAGTTCAATATCCTCTCAGACTACATTACACGTGAAGGGGTCCTTCCATCGACCATCAAGGACCGTATTGGCAGCATCTTTGGGAGATCTATGGAAGAGCGTCTGAATATGAGCGTAGAGTAAGCGACGCTTTTTCTTATTACTCAAGTTGGGGGGTAGACCGTCGGAGTGATGTGGTTTTGAGGGCTTCCATAATACAGGAAAAATGATGTTGCAATGGTCATATCTGAGATGATAATACTAGCCTAGAACACCAGATAGCCGAAAATAGGAAGTTTGCAAAAAACCGAAAACCACTGAGTAAAAACCACTGAAAAAGTCTTAACTAGTCAATAAATAACGAAAACTTCGGAAAAATGCCAAGACTCACCGAATTGAGCTTGATAAGTATGAAATTTTATAAATCCACAGAGTGCACAATGCAGGGTTATTGGAAAGTCAGTTTATATAATAAATCCAGGGAGGTAAAGTGTGTATAGGGTTTTCAAATGTGTAGAGTGTGAAAATACAACAGTTTACAACGGATTTTGTGTGCAAATATGTATAGAACAAGAGTTCCGTGATTCAGAGCAAAATGTAGCGCTCCCGCCGTTTACCCGCGCTTGGTTGAATTTCTTCACTTTGACATTCAGAGCACTGGGCAGAAATCACATTGCGTCATAACCGGTCAGCGGACATCGCAATGCTTTGTTTTAATTAGACAGTCGGATTCCCCTGGTCCGTGCCAGTTCTGAGTTAGCCGTCGCGCGCCAAACAATGGAAGCACAGCCGCTTGACGCAACGCAGAGCAAGTCCACGCGCTGCACCCTACTGGTCACGGCTTCCCACTAGAACTCCACGTCACTGACTGAATACGGCCAGTCGCTAGTGAACATCAGATTAATTTTCAAGTATTGGTCTACGAGCTCACTATGTAATCAGAAGGTCGTGGGTCCGAACCCTGTCGGTGGGTGTTTTCTAATGAAGAGTCCCAAACTAGGACGAAATATCTGTCTGGCAGTACTCTCAGTTGGTTTTTCAATGGTTCCCTAACTGATGTCAGCTCATGATGAAATCCTCCATGCAATCTCATTATTTGTCAAATGTTTCATTAAATGTTGTGGGTGATGTAGCAAATGCTGAGAATTCTACACTGTATCATAATAACTGTTTGGGAATAAGGCAAAGCGTCAGTCATTGATATTAGTAACCTATGTATGCAAAAACAGCACATTCATCCTCTTGGTTTGCCGTGAACTACTACAAGGTAGGCAGACACTTAATCATCTCATATTTTCATGTCAGATTATGCCTTTCTTATTCCTTTTCACCTACTTTACTTCATTCGAATATTATCAGCCTTATTATGTATGTCAACCTTTGTAATTGACACCAAAGCTTATCATGTCTGTAGTGATTTATTATAGTTCACAGTGTAACCTCTTTATTTTATCACTACACTTGATATCTGTCAGCCCTTGCGTGAAATTCATTCATTCAGTCTTCCCTATTTGTTGGAATTTCTCTGTATGCATTTTATGGTAATCATAGTTCTCTCACACCACTGAATGTAATTCAGCCCAACCCCTTAATGCAACTTACATCCTGTGGACTATAAATACATTAGTAATTATGTCACCCCCCCAGTTATCTTCTATTCACATTTTATCTCATATTCTGAATGACTGTACACTTTATATACATACATTCCGCTGACAATGTTATCTATCTTGTGGATTGTCATTCCATCTTATCCGTCTACCCCAACACAGATTCTGACACAATATGCATTTGCCTTTACTGG